GTCCATGCTGCATTCTCATTACCAGTTTTTGTAAAACTGGTTTTATTATTTTCCCTGGCATTCATAGGGACTAAAAAATGTTACTGGAGACTTTTTTTAGAGAGCCAAGCCCCCAGAGCAGGGGAGAGCTGATGCCAGCATCTCAACAGAGCAAGCGATCAGTGAAATGCCTCTGCTGGACTCTCTTACCCTGTGCACACAGACAGTCACCCCTCACTTGCTTCTAGTCAGTGCAGAAGATTATTTTCCGAAATCCTCTTTTGAGAGCAAAGTGAAGAAAGTATGGGCTATGGCCCTGGTCTTTGCTATGGAAAGGAGGATGCAACTCTGGCAGCAACATCTAGTCCTTTCTCTTCTGATACCCGAAATCCAAACATCGGGAGTTCACGATGCAGCTAATCGAAATGGAACTGCTGATGGTGAATGATGGGCCTAGGGGCTGATCTGGAGACTTAAGGGCCTGAGATCTTTTGGAGCAATAATGGCTTGATGTCTTCTAGAATGACAAGTATGGGAATCCCACCACTTCTGTAATAAGTCTTTTCTATTCCTTGCTGTTTGTGTGGAAAACAATTCTGACATGTGGCTGAAATGAAACCCTGTAAAGTTCATGCTGTGCTTCTACCGAACAGGTATGAGAACAAGTTTTCTTCTCCTTTGCAGATGCTTTATGTGAAGCCTGTAACTGTCTATTCAGTCTCTTTTAAATGCTTAATTTTCCTACTTAGTGATTCTGATTGTTGGAAAAAAAAATAAAATATGACCTGTCTTCTAGTGGTCTTACCTGGACTTTGGTAGGCGTAGATCCTTCTGGAGAGTTGGTATCCAAAACTGGCCATAAAGTCTAAGTTAAAGTCGCAGAAGGGCTGAATAAAACAAGACTTCAGTTAGTATGTGTACGTCCTGTGTAAGAGGAGCATTGCAAGTTTGACATCTTTGCAAGATTTTTATTTTTTGACTTCTGGTTTGTTCTCTTCTGTGGAATTGCAGTCAGCTGCTCATTCCATGTGTTGTACTTGTGCAGCTGATGACTGCTACCAGAGCGTACTACTTCATGCTTGTCCTTATTGAATCGCATCCTTTTTATTTCAGACCATTGCTCCAATTGGGCAAGGTCTTCCTGAATTCTATTACTGCTGTCCAGAGTGCTTGCAGATCATCTGCAGGTATAAAGATAGTCACCACTGTCCAAGTCATGGATTAAAGTATCCTATAACACGCTCGGAGGAGACCCCTGGAGAGCTCTGTTTGGTGTATCATTCCAGTGAACTGTTGGAGAGCCACATGTACAGAGTGGTTATCAGTGGTAGACCTGCTTTACTTACAAAAATGTCATGCAAGATGGCTTTAAAAGCTCTGGAAATTTTATAATGGGATCCCATCTTCTGTGTTTTTTCTATATGAGGCCTGTTAATTTATCTCAGAAGGAATTTTTGTCTGACGTAAGCTTCTGAAAAGGCAATCCGTGTCGGCTTGCTGCTGTCTAGGTAGTAATGAATAGGTGGTTCTGCTTTGCTTTGGTTTTCCTCTGAGGTATTGAGCACAGGTTGTCTGACCTGTTATTTTCATGTTCTTCAAAGGCAGGTGCTGAGGCCTTTTGACTCTTCTGGATCGTTCCTGTTCTCAATGAAAATAATAGTCAGTGATACTGAAAGAGAGAGCTGTCTGAGGTGGTCTAGTGTGAATTTTTTTTGTTTTGACATCTTGGGGGGGGGGAAGTGGGGTGTTCTTCATGTGTTTCTCCTCTTGTTGCTCTTAATTGCTGATGTTGGTCAGTAGTTTGAAGATTGAAACATAGCTTCAGCTATGTCAAGAACAACGATGTTACTATTCTTCCTTCAAAGACAGTAGGTGGAAAAAGGCATCTGTTCAGCAGCTTCTGTGTGCCAAGCTGATACCCGGCACTTCCAAAGCCTGTATCGTTATTTAAACTAAAAGGCATTTATCTGTATACTTGAAGATTTGCCAGCTTTCATGGGCATGGTTTCTAGTGAAGCAGAGCTCTATAATAAAGTTTGCATTTGGCATGTGCTTGTCCTGATTAATGGCAGTGGGAGGATGCTCTTTGAAATACGAGGTGAGACTGGACGTGATTTAGACTCCCCTTTTAAAGGGACAACTTGAAGTTTCAGGTATTTGGAGAACTGAATAAATTCTCATTCTTCAAACTTAGATCAAATTTCTGTTGCATGAAAACTGTTGTTAGAAACCATAACATCGGAGTGTGTTGTGAGCTTTTAAAGGCAATAAATATAAGGTACATGTTGTAGGACTTCTTTATAGAGACACGGAGGCGGTTTTTACCAATTGAGGCACAGTTTGAACGTTTAAACGTGCAGAGTTAGTTGTCTGTTGTAGTATCTGGGACTGGGATCAGCCCTCTCTATCCTTGGGAATACCTGTTCTCCGCTCTCAGCAGAGGTGTGTGCCCAGTGTACCTCCTGTGGAAGAGGTGAGCTCTCGTTCTCTGCTTCAGCGTCAGGAACGTCACCTTTCTGTCTGGCTCTTGGCTCCGCTGTGTCAATCTGCCAACAGCTGGGACCGAGCCTTGACCTCTCGCATGCGACCGTCTGCTGGGGAGGGGGCCTGAGGAATCTGTTTTTCTGGTCCAGGCTGCCCCTACACCCAGCCAGAGCAGTGTCAGAAGGACTCGGGGTGTTCCAGCTGTGATGCAGCAGCAGCAGGCTGGACTATACTGCTTCTGTAAGCCATTTTCTTGGTTGTTTCTGCAAACTGAAAGGAGTTTTTAGTAATTCTCTAACCTTTTACTGTTTGATGTGGTTAAAAATAGATGCCTCAGCAGTTCAGACCTGCACAGTAGGCATCATTCATCTTACCTTTGTGGATTCGCTTTTTCTGTCTAGGTGGCAACCCCCCCCACCCCCCAATAACGTCTTGCTGAAATATAGTTACGGCATAGAAAATGTTCTCTTCGTTGTCTGAAGTAATGCAAAAGCAATTTCAACAGCAGGGGGTACAAATGAGAGTTTAACGAGGAAAACTTTCATACCTTTCCAGATACTTGCTTAAGAATATATAGCATATAAGGTATCAGTATAAAAATAGACCGTATGAAATGGATGCCGTGTGGTTATATACCACAACTTTTCATACCTAACAATAGCAACAGGGGTTTATATGCTGCAAGTAAATTTATCTTGGAAGTTAAATGACTTTCTATTTACAGTCACTTTCTGAGAAAGAGACTTTTTACATACTCCTCACAGACAATGGAATTAGAAAGAAGAGTTGGACCTCGTCCTTCCCTTCAACAAAGGAATGCTCTCTTGATCTGCAGATCCAATTGCTTTCCATATGTTAAGTCCCTGTACCACTCAAATGTCCTTTAGCTATTGTGTTGCTCTTCCTATAATTAGTTGTATTTAGCTGTCACTCAAGCATGTGGTACTTCTTACAAAAACATAAGTAGTGTCAGTGTAAGAGCATGATATTTATGAGCTTGATCAAGCAACTTCTGTAGCAGGTTTAAACTAAATTCCAGACTCAATGTGGATTTTTTTTTTTTTTTTGGAAGGGTAGAGTGGTGAAGGTGGGAGAAGGAGTGACAAACGCTCCAAACAAGTGATTCGTGATCATTGCTGATGCACAAATATTGTTATCCTTGTGAGGTTTTTGGTATACACCCGCCATGGCCATCAGATTACTTCAGATAGTGTTTCGTTCCGGTGCTGTTTCTACGATTTTTTGTGGTTTTTTTTTTTTTGGTTTTGTTCTGTGATTTCAACTATATAGTAGTTGTACTTAAATGGAAATAATTAAATAACTTGAAGACAGTTGTACTAAGATATATTCTTGCCATGAACTTGGAAAAGGCATGGGCACCTGTGCTTCTAATGTCGGTATAAACTTCTAACTTTAAAACTGTCTTTAAAAGGAATTTATTACTAGCTTTTCTGAAGATTTTTTCAGCTAAGCTGTTGCATTCTTCTCTAGGGCTGGTATAGCTATACCAACGTAAAGATGATGAACTGCAGTGTTGGTGAAGGGAGTTTCTAAGCTTGAGTGTAATGCTCTGCTACAGCCACTGGCAGTAGAGAATTTTGACTATGTGCTTCATCCAGTATCTTGTAAAGAGTAAGTGTTCAGATGAGACTTTGGAGAATTAAGATCTTCAGGTTACACTCTTGGTATCTATGGGGCGAATGCGCACTGAACGAGGCGGGTCAGGCTGTCTCAGGGGTCCGGCACTGGTGACAGAACTTGTGCCATAGTGTCCAGCTTTCAGCAAGGTTCCTGGAGCCTGTGCTGAAGGCTTGTGAGAGCCAGGGTGGTAGCTAGAGCCCTCCAATTTACTGCTTGGCAAACGCCTCCAAACAGCAGTTGCCCTGCTGTACGTCAAGAAGGGGAAATATGAGGATGACTGACAACTGCTTACAAATTTAGCAATATTTTAGATTCCACTTTTCAGTTCTTAACTTGATCAGGTTTCCAGTTGCAACTTAATCTGTCATAGCTTGAATGTGGCAGATTTAGCTCCAACTTCTGGGTCCCCTTGGAGAACTCGTGTGTTTTGAATATACAGTAGGGTGCCAAGTAGAATAGAAATACTGAGTACTGTTTGCAGAGACGTTTTGTGAAATAGGCAAGATGTGAAAGGTATCTTTTGAGTTTGGGTTAGTATAGCATTAGAGTGGTATACAGCTTGTCTATACGAGATAGGCAGCATGACATGAGATATTTAATGGCTTTACGGTCATCTTTTTACAGTAGCAACTAGAAATAGCACGAAAATCCATAGGGCTCGAGGATTACTTATTCTTTTTTAATCAGTATGTCCTTAATGGAAACCCGTAGAAACAGTAAGGCCTTTTGGTCATTAAGCTAGTCTTTAGGCAGTCAATGAAGCCTGTAAACTTTGGGGCATACATTTAACCTGTCTGGACAGCTAATTTACTCTGTAATGCAGATGGAATGAGAGAGTTAGTATTTTTGTCACGTACCCATTTTCAATATGTCTGTTTGATTCTTGGATCTCATAGGAATCCGTCAACTGCATTCTACCAGGCGTTCCATTTCAACAAGTTACGTGAGTCAAAGACCTTCTGGGATAGGTATGGATGCTTAAGTATGGAATGCATACGTGCCGAGGTATGCATGAACAGCTTCGCTCTATGCAAGTTTCTTGGCATTTTCATTTGCACAGAACTGCTGCTTGTGTTCAGAGCTTCATATTGGGCTTCTGCAGCCTGAAGGCTGAAAGCAGTCATGGAAGTGATGTGTTCATACTGAAATTTAAAACTATATAAGTCTGAAATATGACATGACATTTTTTTTAATTCCTCCTTCCATTATGCATGTATCGTACCTAATGTGTAAGCTGAAAGAGTTTAATGCTAGTCATCTACTAGCTGACCTTCACTGAAATGTTTACAGCTTCCTTTTCCAAAAAAAGGAAACTTTTTGGCATTGTGGCTATTGGGTCCTATGTCAGAAAACAGGTTGTGAAAATGTTACATTTAAACACAATTTTGGCAAAGTTCAAATCTTCTGGTCTCAAAACCAGGAAAGGAAGCTTTCTGGCTTGCTTTCATTTTGCTGAAGTAAAGCTAGATGGGGAACAAATGTGAACCATAACAAGATACAAGGACAAAGTAAACCTACTAAGTTAGCATTGAACTCGTGGCGAGAAACTGCGATGAAGTGCAACGAAGTCTTATCTGTTACGGATATGACTTGTCAGAGATGCATTACTAATTCATTGGTAGCTGCAAACCGCTTCTTTCCTTCATTTTAGTGATTTTGAAGGGTTTTTTCTTTGTCAGCATTAACTTGAGTGATTATGTGACTTCATGCCTTGCGATGCTCTGGTTTGTCACAATTTTTCTGCTTAACAAGCTCTGTAGAATAAGTAATTATTGAAGTATTGATAACTATTTCATCATTGTACTGGCTGTATTTGACTTGAGAGGCTTTTCAACTTGTAAAGCTTAACTGAATCCTTTAAAGTTTGATTGGCCACAATTTGTATACTGTACAACACTGATGGTTACCAGTAATGCTAATGCATCCTGCTTTGTTTTTTTTATTGCTGAAGTGGTAGCATTAGCCTAAGTTTCAAAAGCATGTCTTCCTTTTCTAGCAGAAACTTGGACAAATTTGCATTTTTGCTTTAAGCTCTGGATGATGCCACTTTCCTGTATGTTTGGGACAGAGTTTTTATTTAGGTTCCAAGGACTTCATTATTTAACTGAAACAAACTTCAGGGCTTTGAATACAGATTTGGTGTGTAGACCAAAAGCTCACTTTCAGGTCTAACCTTCATCTGTTTCTCTATTTTCATGTTGCAACTTGAAATAATTCTTAAGATGAGGAAGCTGATTAAAAAAAAACGTAAAATCAAATAATTAATGATCAAGCTTGAGGCTTTCCAAATCTGAGGTTTCTGTGCAATGTTTGAAGCAAGTGCTAGAAGTGTGGGAAAACTAGAAAAATATTAAATTCTGGTAGAATAATGTAAATGGCTTCCTTTAAAATAGCCTTGCATCTTTGCTGTTGAACACCTTGTGGTAAAACCAAGTATGTGTAAAAACGTAGAATCATTTTCATCAGGATTCGTGCAAGTTTTAAGCTTCTGATCCATTACAGATTCCGAAGACTTTGATGGGGTTTAGCAGGTTTTTCATTTTTACCCCAGTTTCTAGATTTTTCTTGAGATCACATTATGTAGTTTTGGTTTGCTAGATGACTGAAACAGAAAAGCTTTCAACAATAAACTTCCAATGAAAACCCGATGGAGAGAGCTTCGGGGCATATCCGGCAAAGCCCGTTTGGGGAGCCCTCGCAGGCAGAGTACGGTGGAGCTCAGTGGTGCGGCTCTGCTGGCGAGAACCGTCCCGGCAGCAGCAGGACGGGCAGCAGGTGGTGCCCTGGTCGCTCCGCTTTGCCTGGGCAGGATGGCCGCTGTTGTCAGGCTTGGGTTGTTTGATGACAGTAACGTGGTTTGTGACCTCTGGTTTGTGAAAGGGAGATCTCTCACGTGAAAACTGTAAGCTCTTCTGATTTCCTCAGAACCCCGTTGTATCCCTATCCGGAAATATGGGGGTTACGCTGCTGCAGTAGGCTCTTTAAACACATTTTGCAGCTCCCTCGGAAGTACTTTGTGAACCTCGGGGGCTTGAGGTAGGCGACTTTAGTGTACACATAATACAAAATCTTCCTGTGTAATTGCAGTATTTTTCCCTAACAAATATGGATTATTCTCCTATGAGCAGCCTTCTCCTGGGACCATTTGAAGTCAGCAAAGCTAACCACGTTCTGTTGCGATGGACAGTAATATATTGCTAAAATTGCTCTGGTAAAATAAGAGACTTGTTTATTTTTCACTGGCACACCGTGGCAGGGAAGAGTGCCGGTAGCATTCAAACCGTGAAGTGTGACTGAAACGCTAGTTGTTACGGAGACACTTGCAGGAAGCCTGCAGATGTTTTCCCAGCACAGTGTTCGCGCAGGTGTTGCTAAGGGCACAAGTCTCGTGGGTCTTTTGTTTCAACTGGCAGGGTCACTGAGGGCTGACAAGGGCAACAACAGCTTCTTGGCATGTTCAGATCAGTCTAGTGACTGCTTTGGCTTTGTATGTTAATAGTGCCGTAGGAGCTTTAGATGGATTTGCCTAAAACATAGCTATTATTGGTCAACTTGAATTTAAAGCAGTAGGATTTATGTTTCCATTGTATTTTTGTGTGAAGCATTAAACCTTCACAGTATAAATTAACTCATAAAATGTGGATCTTGTCCCCCCGTTAGCACCCAGATAAATGTATTCTAAGTGTTGCTGGTGTGTAAATGTGATGAATTAGACAGCACCTCTTCACATGATGATGGATTGTGCCAGACTTCCATTTCCCTGTCAGTGGCTTTCTATTAAATGAGATGCTCTTCCTGCAGACAGGAGAAAGTCAAGAGTTACACATCTGTCTGGAGGGTCTCTTAGGGGTAAACCTTTTCTGATTTGAAATTAAAAGTCTAAAACTCCATGTGAAATTTAAAAAGAGTCTTAGGACAAGGCTGACATTTCATGTAACACACTGATCCAGTCAGTGTTGTGTTAACGTCGTTCTTCTTGATGCTTGCTTCTCGTGGAAGTGGTGTGCAACGTGACTGCCTTCATGCATAGGGAAGAGTGTTTGGTTCATTAGTGTAACTCAGTCTTGCCAAACTCTGAAGGAGCCACGTTTTTCTTCAATGTTGGAAAAAAAAAAATAACAAACCCAAACCTAAAACAATTCAACCCAAACCACGCCTTGGTTTTCCCCAGAAGTATTCTCTCTTTTGTAGAGCTCATGTGTTGCTTCTGAGATCAATTATGGTATTGTGTTGAATAATTGATCTTCAGGGTTTCATGCAAAGCTAAAGAAAACTGTTGTATGGAAGCAAGTGCTTCTCTGTTAGGCAGAGGAGCTGATGGACAAGGAGCTTAAGTAGACTCTCAGGGAAAGCCAGACACCCACCAGTAATCACAAGGCTGTGAATTCACTGCCTCAAACTTTCTCACATTCTTATGTGGCTTTGACAAAGAACGATGATGAAAATCTGAAATACTTGCATGGATGCTCTTTCAAGGCTGGATAATTGATCGTACTGGGAAGCTATCATTATAAAATCTTGTAGTTGGGTGGAGGCTAGTTAAACGTGCCTTAACTCAAGAATAGGTAAGGTTTCTCTGGAGGGACTATATAGCTCACCTAGTGGTAAGACATGAAGAGCAGCTGCAGTAGCTCCCAAATGAGTAGACCAGTGAGGGGAAAGGATAAACAAACAGACTTACTGTTTCAGTTTGTAGCTGGCTTGCGAGCAAAACAAATGTGGGAACACTTCAAGGTACCTTAGTGTTCCTTCCAGAAAGGTTGCTTGATAGTTTGGTTTAAAGCAGTAACAACAAAAGAGCTGAAAGAGCAAGGGGAGATCTCCTGGTTCAGGGATGTCTCTCTGAGACTGTGGTGTGTAGCGTCTTTCCCACTTCCACCTAAAGCAAAGCAGATCTAGTGCTTCAAGGGAGGAGTCCTCTTACAGAGGCTGTTGGACAAGACTCTTGCCAGCATTGGTGCACCCTTTTGTAGCCTGTTCTGCAGGCAGTCTTTCCCACTCTGGCAGGATTAGCAATGGTTTTGTGTAGCTAAAAGCATGAACAGTGCACTAACTTCATGCTAAAATTTGAAAGAAATACCAAGAGCAAGAAAAAGCAAGAAAACTCATGCATTCTGGCAGTCTTTTGGGGGGCGACTTGCTGCTAAGAAATTCCTTGGGAAAGGACTATGCAGGTAGTTGGTAAAACAGCTGAATCCAGAATATGTTTTTTGTTACTGACTAAAAAAACCCTGAAGCTTTGAAATTGGTTTACATCATCCAGTCAGTAGGATTTGCAGTCTAATTTAAATGAGAAACACTATTACCTGGGCTGGTACTTGACAGTGCCAAAGTAGGGCTGTTTATAACTCTCATTCCTAATGCCTCCAACTTTGGCATAAAATACACCCATTACTGAGGTCTGTGGAATCTCTAAAAAGGAACCACTGCGTTCTGGTTTTAAGCATACAGAGTGAATTAAGCTGCAAATGCCTTTATTTTGAAGTTTGATTCCTAGTCTTTCTACCAGGATTTTGAAGTGAATTTTGAAGTTGAGAACACATCTCTTGGAAGGACAATAGTTATATGTGAAGACCGATGGTGAAAACCCCAAGCTGAGTACAGGGGCAGCAGTTGAATTCAGCATTGAAATAGATCTTGGTGCCTGTGAATGTGAGGTGATGTTGACGGTTAAGTTTTCCTCCGACCGTTAACAAGTTAACATTTAAGACATTAAATGTTAATGTCTTTTTTTGCTGTCTTCTGTTCCACTCATCCTTGTTTTTTCCATCACACTTTAATCACTTTCCCTTTCTGTGTACAGTGTTGTTCCAGTTTTGGAATAGTCTCTAGTAAGTCACCTTTCTTGGGCTGCAAAATTGTGCTTTACAAAGAGCATTTGTTTGGTCACTATATAATATCTGTATTTTCAGTGACGCTGTACACTGGTGCATGTTGTGCTAACAGGGCTCCCAAACGCTTTGTTAACAGTGTTAGCTTGTTGATGATACTGAAACACCTTTCCAATAATATTTTACCCTACTCTTGGGATACCACGTCTCCATAGGAGGAGTTTTCGCAGCGATAATTATACTGAGTCATAATTATACCGAGGCTTTTAAGAATGCTCTGCGTTGTGGAAAGTGTGATTGCTGTATAGCGTGTGACATGCATTAGAAATCAGACTTGCACTTAGACTTACCAGTTCTTTGCCTATTTTCTTAGTCTGTATGCACACGGTTGTCCGAGACACTTCTGTCACTTTGTTTGCAAGACATTCGAAACAAAAAAATCACAATGCCATTCCTGAGTTGTAGGTGTACAGGAGAAATATACCTAAAATACCGCATAAGGAATTCCAAGGTGCCAGCTGTAAAGTCTTTGATAAAACGCTTTGTTCCAAACGCTGCGTACCTCAGCTATAGCTAATCAGCGTTATTAGCAGTCTAGTTTTCCCCTTGGTCTTTCAAAGTAAAATGTGAAGAAAAATTACATTTAAGCCACTGTGACTTTTTTAAACAATCAAAATGGGAATTTCTCAGACTAAATAAGGTTTGGCCTGTCTGTTGTGTAAGGTAGAAAAATGTTGGGTTTACCATCCATCTCTGGAAATGGCAAACTGTTCTTGGTAATCATTTTTGCTGACTGTGCATCTTGCCTTGTACCTGATGGGAGTGATCTTGGTATACCGGTGTCGCCTTTTCTGGTCAGAGCCTTCTTTACACAGCCTTGGCTTGGAGGTCCAAGTCAGACCCAACCGTTCTTTTAAATTACGGTATGCATGAGTGGCAGCCAGTTGGCTGCAAAAGCTCGGTTCGAGGGGAGGGCAGGAAGTTTGCAGTTACAAAAAAATAATGATGTGCCTAATACATCCCTTTAACTGTCCTACGTTACTTGATGAGGATTTGTGTTTGTGCGACAGCTTTGGTCAGGCTTCTGGAGTTCCTGGAGTTCCAATCAACTTTATCTTTGTCTAAAAGCACAGAATAGTAGCTGGTCTTGTTTTGTAAGAGCTAGACAGTGTCTTTCCACTTCTGACTCCAGAATTTGCTAGTTGATACATTGGATGTACAGTGCATGGTGCACTCGCAGAATGTATCAAACTATCCAGTTTGATGGATGCTCCAAAAAGACTTAATAAATTTATTCTCTTTTTCCTGGCCTTTTCACAGGGACTGGATTGTATCTGTAAACTTTTATGCAGCCACAGGATACAATATGTTTATGCAAACTGAGATTTGATCTCAACAGCCAAGGATTTGGGAAAAATACAGAATCTTAAAGACTTAGCAGCGCATTTGGACTGCACCATAAGAATAGCTGGCACAGGAGCACTCTGCTGCGGGATGTCTCGCAGGAGCTGTTTGTTGAGGGCAGCACGGTAGAATGAATAAAGGACAGGATCGTACGGGAATTGTGCTAGCATAAAGTCTAATGCTCATATGCTTTTAGAAGTGAAGTGAAATATTGTCATTGGGATAAAACCACATCTGACTGACTGACTGGAGGCTGCTCTCAGCGTGGAGTTTCTCCTGCGGCGGGCAGGGGGCTGCGTGGTCCTGGGCTCTGCCTGCTGGAGACGAGCAGGGTGGGCACCGGGGTTTTTTGTTGGGAGCAGGTCTGGAATCCTGACTCTGTGCTTTGATAACAGCACAAGCTGCTCTGGGCATAAGGGCAGCAAGCATATTGAAACTAATAAAAGTAGTGTGTAAGCTACTATGGGTTTCAGCGCAGTATTAGTGTCGCTTTAAGTGTAAAATGCGGGTGGGAGAGAGAGTTTCTCTGGCTGCATTCAGATCACAGGGGGAGGAACGGTTCTTACACCCACGGTGTGAACCCTGCACTCGTTTAAAAGGCAGGCCAGAATTTGGAGCATGAGGCGTGGCCTGGGAAAGGTGCTTCTGCAGTATGCCGTGCAGGGACGGGTCTGGTGGGTGGTGCCGGGGGAGACTGCCTGGCTTCCACCTGAGGGGCTTTTTCGTGGGACTGATGGAACGCCTTAACCTTGAGTGATGTAATGGACTTCATTTTTTTTAAATAGTCACACTGCAAAATAGCTGGAACAGGGCTAGAAGAACAAAGTCCCAGCCTCAAATTTAGCTAGGAGAGTCATGACAGAAGGTGTACAATTACGCTGTAAAGATGCAGGAGCAGATCCCATGACAAAGTGTGCTGTTTGCTTTAATTTTGCTCCTCTTGCCTTTATCTCTTCAGAGCTGCCTCACCTGACTTCAGGTGTGTTCATGAAAGGCTGTATCAGGGACATGGAGCAGTCTTGGGGATTTCAATGTCTCTTGAACACACACGTTTTTGGCAGTTTCAGATAGGTCTGAAAAACGTTAATCCAAAATGGGAAGGAATACTTAACCTTGTCATGCATTATAGATACTTACTATTCTGAGGATGTTTGGCATGACTATGGCTTGAAAGAGCCTTAGAAGACAGTAAGACACTGGAAGAATTTTCTTGTGAAATGGGTGTTTAGCACTTTTGGTTTATGTGCTCAATTTAGAAATAAGAGGCTGTTCTTCCCTCAATCCGAAAAGCTAATTCCCTCTGCTTGTAAATGCTTGGTGCTAGGTACTGACAACTCTTGTGAGACGTGTCAAAATGGGTTTCTCTAGCTAGTGTCATGTTCTTTGACTAGCCGAGCTTTGTTTCACGTGTGTGACTGGTACTGCTGAGCATATTGCCAGTAGTCCCTTTGAAACGCCCTAAGCGGTTGTTTCTTAGCGCTTGGGTTTCAGCGAGTGTTAGCTGTTTTCGGAGAGGCGAGTTTCCAGGCATGGCTGCAAACCTCCCGCTTCTCCCCGGCGGTAACTTTTTTTAAAAGTAGCTGCACGCTGCTGATAGCCCCTTCCATCGCTGGGGGGGCGTTATCGGCCGTCATCACTGGCGGGGCTGGTAGCTTCTCCAGGAACTGCCGTCGCACGTCAGACACGGAGCTGTGGAGTAAGATCGGAGCAGCGAGAGCTGCTGCGGGAGGGCGGACGGGACGGGCAGGGTGCGTGGGGATGGAGCGTTCGGTGGCTGCTGGGGGCTCCCCCGCCGGAGTCACAGCGCGGGCTGCCCTGCCTGAGCCCCGGGGCAGAGCTGCGGCTCCTCTCCAGACGGAGCGACCGCAGTCTGCGAGAGAGCAGGGGCACCCCCGGCCCCCTGAAATTCCCACTCCGGAGTGAGCAATTACTGTTAACTTACTATTTACTGTAATGCATGTTTCTGGTTATGGGTGTCTTAAGCGTAGTCTGAGGAGCCGTGGACTGAAGGAGCAGGATCTCTTAAGAGCTGTAACTGTACTGGGCAGTACAGTGTGTGTGGGGGGAAGCAACCCCCACGGTTGTGTGCTGAATTCTTGAATCTGAAGCTTTCTCCTCTCGGTGAATGGGTGTTCTGGGAGTCCTGGGGGTGGCGGTGGGTGCGTGGTTTTAACTGAACGGTACCGTAATGCTCACAGAGTGTTCTCCTTGTATTTGCAGTGCGTCTGGTGCAAGTGTTGTTGCCATTGACAACAAAATAGAACAGGCAATGGTAAGTAAAAAATAAGTTGTTACTTCTACTAGGATTAGCGGTTCATCGCTGAGCGTAAGTTTCCAGCTGTGTTGCGTTCCTGTGAGCCTGCAGCATCCCTTCAGTCGGGTCAGCCCGAGACCGCTGTTTGAAACGGGGATTGTCTGTATCAACTATGGGGTGACGACAAACCAGGGTTGCCTATACTGTTGGCCTGGCATGTTCTTAAATTAACTTTCCTACAAATTTCTGTGAACAAGCTGATTGAACTTTAAAGGGGTGCTGAAAACAAATAGTATGTTCAAGTCTTTTACTTGAGCAAAGTTCATTACTAGTTTTTCTTAATTGTCGCTTATGTTATGCCACCCACGACATTTTGTTAAGCTTCAGTTACATCCGTTTGATTTTCGCTTATGCTGATTTAGAGGCTTTCTTATTGCTTGGTTCGTGCACGCCTTGGTGCTTGGGAGTGTGACGCAGACTCCTGCCTCCAGGCCAAAGCTTCAGAGCTGATGATTTCATTTGGAGTGGCTGGAACGTGATTCTAGTCCTCGTCTTCAGCGAAACCGAGGAGACTAGAGCTTAGTGCGAATGCTGGAAACAGGCTTTTGGTGTCAGGGCCCTTGGCGGAGGACGGGAGCGCTGCGTTATTTGCTCTTGAAGGCTAACTTACTCGTGTATTTTTAGTGGCGAGCGCTTTAGTTTTCCAGGCCTACACTTACTTCAGTGAGAGCAGTAACGTAGTAAATCCTGGGGTTGGAGCGGAACGAAACTGTCCTTTCACTTGGTGTAACCGTTAACTTGTTCTTCACAGGATCTAGTGAAAAGCCATTTGATGTACGCAGTGAGAGAAGAAGTGGAAGTCCTGAAGGAACAAATAAAAGAATTAGTTGAAAGAAACTCTTTACTTGAACGAGAAAACGCACTGTTAAAATCTCTTTCAAACAATGATCAGTTATCCCAACTTTCAACCCAACAGGCCAATCCTAGTAGCACTTCACAAGCGCAAACAGTGATAGCACAGGCTCCGCAGCCAACGCAACCTCCACAGCAGCCGAATGTCTCCTCAGCGTAAAGCTTTCTTGCCTCCTCCGGAAACAAAAACCCGAGAGCAGCCTGTCCTTGTGTGCCACTGATGTTCTTTCCACTTTATCTGAGAGCGAGTAGCCATGCTTCTGTTGTGTGTTCGGCCTTTTCAGTATTAGACAATCATTCTGCGGGAGCTGTCCCTCGCGGTCCGGCAGGAAGCGCGGCCGGTCTCCGTGCCGCCCTCGGTGTGCAGGAGTGAGGGCTGTCGGAGCTTTGGTGGCTCGCCCGGGTTTCCACTTCCGTGGATCGCTTTGAGCCTTGCTGTCTGGCGAGAAGCGACAGTTCATCTGAAGAGCCACTGTTCTTTCAATATAAGTAACA